CAGTGAGGGAGCGAGTGAGTGAGTTAGTGAGGGAGTGAGAACACGAGCGTCACCCCCAGCTGCACCCAGTCGCCCTCGGTGCGAAACACCTCCACGTTGACCGGCTCTATCTCGTACCTCACTGCTATCTGCCCCCCCACCTGGAGTGAGTGAGGGAGTGAGCCAGTGAGGGAGTGAGTGAGTGAGTTAGTGAGTGAGGGAGTGAGAACACGAGCGTCACCCCCAGCTGCACCCAGTCGCCCTCGGTGCGAAACACCTCCACGTTGACGGGTTCGATCTCGTACTTCATTGCTATCTGCCCCCCCACCTGGTGACGAGTGAGGGAGGGAGTGAGGGAGTGAGTGAGGTGCTGAGGGGGGGAGTGAGGAATGCTCCCCTCCGTGCGAAAATCTTCCACGTTCACCGGCTCTATCTCATGGATCACTACTCTCTGCTCGCCTGGTGGGTGAGTGAGTTAGTGAGTGAGGGGGTGGGAGAGTGTGCGTGTGCACAAGATAGGGACCCCACAGATGTGTGGCAGCACGACACGAATGAGAGCAAAGAGGTAGCAGAGGGTTAGAGGGAAGAGCATAGGAGGGCGCACCTGGCAGGGGGAGGGCGCACCTGGCAGGGGGAGGGCGCACCTGGCAGATGAAGCGCACTCGAGTGAGCACAAAGAGATGGCTCTCCCCTGCACATGGCACGGCATGGCACAACACCGGCAGGGCAGCAACAGGGAGGGGACAGAGGGCAAGTGGGGAAACCGGGGTGAGCAGAGGTCAGCCGGGGGAGGACCGAAACAGATGTCAGCCCTGTGACATGACACGTCAGCATGATAACATGGCGAAAGCACAAAGGGCGAGCGGCGGTTACCGTTGTAGGTGAGCATCTGGGCGGTGATGGTGCGGGTGGCATTGTCGATAAAGAAGCCGTCCACGAGGTACTGCAGCCGGGCGGCAGCCGCCCCGCTGTCCAGATTCACGTCAAATAGGACGGGGAACGCCGCCTTGTCCGGCTGCACGGGAGCGAAACCGTACGGCACACTGTGGTTCTGAAACGCTCTCAGCTCGGCGGAATTCAGAGGTGCTACAGTGCCGCCGGTTGCTGATTGGCTGACAGCACTGCTGCTGCCGCCCGGAACGGAGGAGTCTGATTGGCCGTCAAGGGGCGGCAGGGATTGGTTGGTGGCTGCAGCGAGGGCGGCTGCAGCGTCAGGGTCGTAGAGGGAGGAGGAGGGGAGGAATGCCGGGTTGATCCCGAATGGGTGCTTGGACGTGCTGTTGGCACAGTAAGGAAAGAGGCTCAAGAATCTGCGGGGAAGGGGAGTAGAGGAATGGGCAGGGGGAGGAGGGAGAAGTGGCCAGGATTGTGAGAAACGAGCGGGTTGACTTTTGAGTCGACTCAGAAGTGGCCAGGATTGTGAGAAACGAGCGGGTTGACTTTTGAGTCGGCTCAGAAGTGGCCAGGATTGTGAGAAACGAGCGGGTTGACTTTTGAGTCGACTCAGAAGTGGCCACGATTGTGAGAAACGAGCGGGTTGACTTTTGAGTCGACTCAGAAGTGGCCAGGATTGTGAGAAACGAGCGGGTTGACTTTTGAGTCGACTCAGAAGTGGCCAGGATTGTGAGAAACGAGCGGGTTGACTTTTGAGTCGACTCAGAAGTGGCCACGATTGTGAGAAACGAGCGGGTTGACTTTTGAGTCGACTCAGAAGTGGCCAGGATTGTGAGAAACGAGCGGGTTGACTTTTGAGTCGACTCAGAAGTGGCCAGGATTGTGAGAAACGAGCGGGTTGACTTTTGAGTCGACTCAGAAGTGGCCACGATTGTGAGAAACGAGCGGGTTGACTTTTGAGTCGACTCAGAAGTGGCCAGGATTGTGAGAAACGAGCGGGTTGACTTTTGAGTCGACTCAGAAGTGGCCAGGATTGTGAGAAACGAGCGGGTTGACTTTTGAGTCGGCTCAGAAGTGGCCAGGATTGTGAGAAACGAGCGGGTTGACTTTTGAGTCGGCTCAGAAGTGGCCAGGATTGTGAGAAACGAGCGGGTTGACTTTTGAGTCGACTCAGAAGTGGCCACGATTGTGAGAAACGAGCGGGTTGACTTTTGAGTCGACTCAGAAGTGGCCAGGATTGTGAGAAACGAGCGGGTTGACTTTTGAGTCGACTCAGAAGTGGCCAGGATTGTGAGAAACGAGCGGGTTGACTTTTGAGTCGACTCAGAAGTGGCCACGATTGTGAGAAACGAGCGGGTTGACTTTTGAGTCGACTCAGAAGTGGCCAGGATTGTGAGAAACGAGCGGGTTGACTTTTGAGTCGACTCAGAAGTGGCCAGGATTGTGAGAAACGAGCGGGTTGACTTTTGAGTCGACTCAGAAGTGGCCACGATTGTGAGAAACGAGCGGGTTGACTTTTGAGTCGACTCAGAAGTGGCCAGGATTGTGAGAAACGAGCGGGTTGACTTTTGAGTCGACTCAGAAGTGGCCAGGATTGTGAGAAACGAGCGGGTTGACTTTTGAGTCGGCTCAGAAGTGGCCAGGATTGTGAGAAACGAGCGGGTTGACTTTTGAGTCGACTCAGAAGTGGCCAGGATTGTGAGAAACGAGCGGGTGGTGCAGAGAGGGGGGTGAACAGGCATGGCATGGTGTGGAAGGTGTGAGCCGTCACGACACATGTGGTGGAGGGGACACATCATCTTCTCTTCTCTCACCTGGAGGGGCGGCATGGGCCGCCGTCTGCCCGGGTCTGCTCGAGAAAGAGGCCGATGAGCAGGCGGTTGCGCTCTGCCGCTACGTACCGCGCCTGCGCCACCTGCTGCCTCTCCGCCACCAGCTTTCCCAGCGGTGGCGTTGCCACACCGCCCGCTGTGCTGCTTGCTGTGTTGCTCGCTGTGCTGCTTGCTGTGTTGCTCGCTGTGCTGCTTGCTGTGTTGTTCGCTGTGGCGTCGCTGGGTGTAGTAGTGTTGGTGGTGACGGTGCCGTTGGGGGATGAGTCAGGGGTCATGCTGCTGCTGGTGCCCGTGGCAGCAGCAGCAGGGACGAGGCGGGGACCAACGTCCTTCATGAGGCAGCACGCTGGGAGGGCATGCCGGGACGTGTGGGGGGGGGGGGGGGAGGGGAAGAGATGAGGATGTATGTGTGAGGGGTGTGAGGAGGCAGCGGTGTGGCATGAGTCATATACAGCATGGTTTTGTGCAAGTGAGGTACTGGTAGGGTTGAGGTGGGATGGTCGTGGGTCCTGGTGTGTGCAGCACTCACAGCCCTGGTTGGAGCGCATTTGCCCCAGTGGGCACGAGCAAGAGGTAGGAGCAGAGGCCACGGCAGCAGGGAGCGAGCGAGGGGGCCGCGCGCACGCACAGTCACCCCCGTCAAAGGCACAGGCGTCCACGTGGCATGCGCTGTGGCACAACCCGTCTCCCAGCATGCTCAGCGCACAGCCTGGCGCACACTGCACTGCCAGGGGCGCTGAGATCACCGCCGCTGCTGGCGAGACAGCAGCAGTAGGTGGAGCAGAGGGAGCAGATGGGGCAGGGGCGGCCGCAGCTGCTGCTGCTGTGACAGCTGATGATTCTGCTGCACCCACGGATGCCGCAGCGGCAGCAAGGGTGGTGGTAGAGGGCGACTGGGAGGAGGAGGCAGTAGCGGCAGCAAGGGTGGTGGTAGAGGGCGACTGGGAGGAGGAGGCGGTAGCGGCAGCAGGGGCAGGCAGCACGGAGAGGAGGCCGGGCATGAGGCGGCCGGTGCGCGTGCAGTGGTAGCGGTAGGTGCCGGGGGCCAGCAGCACTGCTGACACTGAGAAGACTGAAGGGTCGCCAGGGATGGCTGTGAGCGTGGGGAGAAAAAGGAGTGGAGTTTGGGGGAAGTGGGTGGGGACCGAGAGAGTGGCGAGATGTTTGCACCATACACTCTGAGAGGGCAGGGGCAAAGATCGGCTCGACTTGGAACCAGGGGGAGTATGGGGAGTGCGAGCAGAGCAGGGGCTTACAGAGGGAGCAGGGCAAGGGGACGTGTGCGGCCCACAGCAGGTGCACAGCAGCAGTGGCGCGCTCTGAGTCGTCGGCAGCAGCAGGCAGAGTGCCCACGTTGTCACTCGCACACTCCGTGCCTGCCGCCACCACCAGCTGCCCCGTGCCAAAGCCGTGCCATGGGGCTGCATGGGCCGCGCTTGGGTCGGTCACTGGGGGGGATGGAGGGAGCGGAAGAGGGAAGGGGTGAGAGAATGGGGACAGAGACGGGTGAGGGAATGCACCCATGTTGACGTTCGCGCACTCGCTGCCTGCCGCCACCGCCAGCTGCCCCGTGCCAAAGCCGTGCCATGGGGCTGGCTGGGCTGCGCTTGGGTCGGTCACTGGAGGTTCAAGGGAGAAGAAGGAAGAGAGGAGAGGAATGAGGGTTGATGGAGAAGGTAGATCAAGGGAATACAGAAGTCCTCACACTCCCAGCAGTTTCTCACACTCTCACACACCACACCTACAGCAGTCCCTCACAACCCCCCCAACACAACACCCAGCAAGCAAGTACCCATGGCACCCAAGGCAAGCAGCACAAGGCACGTACACGTGAGCGCATGAGGTAGCCCATCGGCCCACAGCCATGTGACCTTGTCCCCCACGGCCACCGTCGTGTTGAGCACCACTCCCGGCGCCCACAGCAGCGTGGGGCCCACCGCGTTCCCACAAGGCGGCAGGGAGGGGAGCACGGCGGCCGGGTCGAGGGCGTGGAGGAGACGGGAGAGGGCGGCGAGGCGGGAGGGGGGGAGGGCAAGCAGGGAGTCGAGAGCTGCGAGCAGCATGGCTGTGAAGCGCGCCTGCTGCGTGTGGGATAGGGGCGTTGGGATGCCACTGGCGGGAGGAGGCAGGGGAGTGGGGGAGGGAGAAGGGGGAGAGGAGGTGTGGGGGAGGGGTCGAGGTGGAAAAGATGTGTGGCACGTTGGCGACATGCGTGCTGCCTTGTCTTCCATCCCCCAACCCCCATTCCCCATCCCCCACCCCACATCACCCATCCAAAAAGTTCCCCCCACTCACTTGGCATGGGCCCAGGGCACATCAGTGCTTAGCTGCTGCAGCGTCACCAGCTGCCGCCCAGAAGCATGGTGCGTGTAGTTGCACCCCTGCACTCGCTGAGCCGCCTGCTCGCCGCCCATCAGCGAGCACAGAAACGCCACGAGACGCAGCCGGGCGGCAGGGGCGAGCAGGGCGGGCGCAGAGGATTGGGCGGCAGAGGGGAGGGGCGGCTGGAACGGGACGGCAAAGACGAGACAGCTGTCCTTGACAGCTGTGTAGAGCGCACGGGCGACTGCCACGTGGCAGTTCTGGATTCGCTGCTGGTCGGAGGAACCAAGGGCCTCCCAGAGGGTGTCGTCAGCTACGCCTGCAGGCGAAGTGGGGGAGGGGAGAGGAGGGGGGAAAGGAAAGGGGAGGGCAGGGTATGGGGGAAGGTGAGGTGGATGAAGAGGAGAGCAATGAGGGAAAGAAACGGAGAGAGGTTGGGCAGGGAGGGGCTGGAGGACGTGAGAAGGGCTGGGTAGATTTTTGAGGTAACAGAAGTTAAAGAGGAAGGACATGACACACGCAGCAGGTGGGAAGCGTGTTAGGGAGCAAGAGCAGGAGGGGGAGCCGAAGAGGGAATAAGGTAGAGGCAGAGGAGCAAAGAAGCGCACCAGCAGTGGGGGTAGCTGCAGGGGCGGCGGCAGTGGGGGTAGCTGCAGGGGCGGCGGCAGTGGGGGTAGCTGCAGGGGCGGCGGCAGCAGCAGCATCAGAAGCAGAAGCAGCGTAATAAGCAGCATCAGTTGCGGGTGCTACAGGCAGGCCCGCACTCTGCTGCTGCAGCATCTGCAAGGGCGGCATCACAGCACTCTGCTGCGGCACTCTGCGGCGCCCACCCTGCTGTCCTGCTGGCCCATGCGGATGGTAGTGGCTGTAGTGGTTGTAGGGAAAGGGTGCCTCCTGGGGTTTAGCACAGGGCGGGAGGATTGTTGGGGGAGAATGGGGGAGCGAAGGGCGGAGAATGGAGGAGCAAAGGAGGGGATTTGAGGAGCGAAGGGAGGAGAATGGGGGAGCAAAGGGAGGCGATGAAGAGAGAGAAGAGGAGATATGGGAGGAAGTGCGCGGTGGGAGAGGGCACAGGGCAGGTGCGTGGTGTCAGAGGAGGGCAGGTGAGCAGGTGAGCAGGTGAGCAGGTGAGCAGGCGAGCAGGTGAGCAGGTGAGCAGGTGAGCAGGCGAGCAGGTGAGCAGGTGAGCAGGTGAGCATTGGGAAGAATCGTTTCAGTGCCTCGGCATGGGACAGGGGAGGGCACGAGGCGGATGGGTGGCACACGCCGCAGAGTCAGCGGATGCTGCAAAGGGGAGGAAGCCGTGCTTGTGCACACCTTGGCTAGTCTTCTGGCGCCTGCAGCTGTAGCAGCGGATGCAGCTGTAGCAGCGGATGCAGCTGTAGCAGCGGATGCAGCTGTAGCAGCGGATGCAGCTGTAGCAGCGGATGCAGCTGTAGCAGCGCCTGCAGCTGTAGCAGCGGATGCAGCTGTAGCAGCGGATGCAGCTGTAGCAGCGGATGCAGCTGTAGCAGCGGATGCAGCTGTAGCAGCGGATGCAGCTGTAGCAGCGCCTGCAGCTGTAGCAGCGGATGCAGCTGTAGCAGCGGATGCAGCTGTAGCAGCGGATGCAGCTGTAGCAGCGGATGCGGCTGTAGCAGCGGATGCGGCTGTAGCAGCAGAGGCGGCTGTAGCAGCAGCGGAGGCGCCGGCACAGAGGTAGGTTGAGAAGTCCGGTGGCAGGGCTCCAAGGGCCTGGTGGGATGCAATGCGACGTGAGAGGGCGGAGAGAGAACAAGATACGCACGCACAGGCACATGAATAGCCAGACCAGAAGGCCCTCCCGAGGGTGCCTCTTGGACATCAGCGCGCTACTGCGCCCCTCCGTCACAAAGGCTCTGTGCAGGAGCACACGGAAGACACATACAGGGAGGACGCCAGGCGCGGGGCAGTGCAAGGCGGAGAGACGGGTGGCTGCAGGCAGCATTGCAGATCCTTCTAGGAACAAGAAGGGGGCTGTGGGGGAGGACGGTCAGCGTGTGCAAAAGGCAGCATAGCAGGCGGCAACGCAGGGTGTGTCAGGGCCCAGAGCAGAGGCCAGAGGATTCAGTTAGGCATTGCTGGTGGGCGGCGCATTGGAGGGAGTACCTGTGTGCAGGTGAGGTTGTGGGCGGGGACGGGCGGTGTGTGTGGCGGGTCGTTGCAGGCGGCAGCACAGTCGACAAAGACGGCCGCGAGCACACGAGGAGAGAGCGGGTTGGGGCACGCCTCGAGCACACAGCGTGCCAACACCGCACACGCCTACAATGGATAGTGGGAGATGGTTGGAGGGAGTTGGGGCGATTTCTGAGGCATGTTAAAAACCAACACGGCACCGCACATGCCTGCAGGGATGGTGGGAGAAAAATGGGGCGAATTCGAAAGCGCGTGAAAAAACAACATGGCATGTGCGTGGGGGGGGGAGGGGTTGGTGGGAGAAAGTTGTGGGGGGGAGATTGGGTTGGGGCAAGTCAGGAGTTGGGCGCTGGAACAACGAAGACAACAAGGAGACAGAAGAGAGAGAGGGACTCACAGATCGGCAGCGCGTGAGCGGCGAGGTGGTGACCTCTTGACAGCCGCCCCACTGGGCTATGGGCTGAGGGGAGGACGAGGATGATGATGATGAGGAGGAGGAGGAGGAGGAGGAGGAGGAGGAGGAGGAGGAGGAGGAGGAGGAGGAGGAGGAGGAGGAGGAGGAGGAGGAGGAGGAGGAGGAGGAGAAGGAGGAGGAGTCAGAAGAGCCAAAGTAAGCAGGCGAGTCGATGGGCAGGTCAGCAGATTGAGAGGATTGAGCAGCGGGGTAGACGAGGCCAGTGACGCCTCCAAAGGGCGCAGAGAGCACCACCTCCCAGTCGCCCTCCGGTACCCACAGTGTCTGCTCCCACTCCGCCGCCACCTGAGAAAACACCTGAGGCGCCTCGTACCTGCGGCATGGATGGAAGGGGTTGCGGTGGGTTTGAGAGGGTAACGGGAGGTGAGGAGGGGTGTGAGGCGATTAGATGCAGTGGAGAGTTGACTGGGACATCAGGCATGACCTCACTACCACATTGGGGGAGGGGAAGAGGGGGAGGGGGGGGTCTATTGGACTTGAACACTCTAGGGAGCGAGGGTGGGGGGTACAAGGTGTCTTTTGGCACTCACCAGTAGAGGGAGGGCAGGCCCTGGCACTCACCAGCAGAGGGAGGGCAGGCCCTGGCACTCACCAGCAGAGGGAGGGCAGGCCCTGGCACTCACCAGCAGAGGGAGGGCAGGCCCTGGCACTCACCAGCAGAGGGAGGGCAGGCCCTGGCACTCACCAGCAGAGGGAGGGCAGGCCCTGGCACTCACCAGCAGAGGGAGGGCAGGCCCTGGGGGCAGAGGTTCCAGGAGGAGGCTTGGGCGTATTCAAGCGAGGCGAAGGAGGAGGAGAGGCGCAGCGTGAGCGGGCGCAGGGACGGCAGCACCCCGCAGTCCGCCTCACAGCCAAAGCGGCCGAAGGCTGGGAACTCCAAGGGGCGCTCGCACACCCCATTGCCACAAGGGGGGTCCTTCCAGACCACCTGGGAGCGAGAAGGGTAGGAGGGAAGGAGGGGGAGATTCTTTATGCGCAGACAGAACAGTCCTCCTCGCATCCGAAGCGGCCCGGCCAATGGGACGAGTTTCGAGGCACCTAAAAAATCGACACAATGAATGCATGAAAGAGACAAGAGCGGCACACCTGGTGATGGGGGTACCTGGAGAGGAGAGTAGAACCTGGGGGGGGGGAGCACCTGGAGTGGAGCACCTGGGGGAGCACCTGGAGTGGAGCACCTGGAGGGGAGCACCTGGAGGGGAGCACCTGGAGGGGAGCACCTGGAGAATGGTGTCGTTGAGCCAGGTATAGAAGTCCTCTGGTCCACTCAGCGTGTTGGTCACTGCACCTGACACTCCCTGCAGCCATCACACGAGGGAGAGGAGGCACAGACGAGGGTTGACCTGAGACGGCTCAACACCCAGCGTGCTGGGTTGGTCACCACACCCACACCCACACGCCCATGGCTCACCCATACGCCCTCAGCCACACGCCCCTGCACCCGTACGTACCCCACTCAACAAGACCCATACCCTGGAACCATGCCTCCCCCACCCACATGCCCAGGCACTCACAGGCGGCAGCAGGATGTTGTGCGAGGTGGCGACCTCATAATTGCGGGAGGAGTCGGCTTGCAGGTAGAGCACGGTGAGATAGAGGCACGTGTAGAGCGAGAATGCGAGCAGGTTCTTGAAGTTCTCCGTGAGCCACTGCATGTGTGTCACTGACTCGTACATGGCTGGGCAGAGGAGGGGGGAGGGGCGGGTGAGGAAGGGCAGAAGGAGAGGAGACAGGGAGAAAGGAGAGGGGCGGGCGGAGAGGAGGGTAGACATGGCGAGACGGCCGCTGCATGTGCGTCACTGACTCGTACATGGCTGGGCGGGGTGGCGGGAGGAGGGGAGTAGGGGAGACGAAGGTGGGGAACAGGGGTTGGGAGGAGAGGAGTAGGGGAGACGAAGGTGGGGAACAGGGGTTGGGAGGAGGGGAGTAGGGGAGACGAAGGTGGGGAACAGGGGTTGGGAGGAGGGGAGTAGGGGAGACGAAGGTGGGGAACAGGGGTTGGGAGGAGAGGAGTAGGGGAGACGAAGGTGGGGAACAGGGGTTGGGAGGAGGGGAGTAGGGGAGACGAAGGTGGGGAACAGGGGTTGGGAGGAGGGGAGTAGGGGAGACGAAGGTGGGGAACAGGGGTTGGGAGGAGGGGAGTAGGGGAGACGAAGGTGGGGAACAGGGGTTGGGAGGAGGGGAGTAGGGGAGACGAAGGTGGGGAACAGGGGTTGGGAGGAGGGGAGTAGGGGAGACGAAGGTGGGGAACAGGGGTTGGGAGGAGAGGAGTAGGGGAGACGAAGGTGGGGAACAGGGGTTGGGAGGAGGGGAGTAGGGGAGACGAAGGTGGGGAACAGGGGTTGGGAGGAGGGGAGTAGGGGAGACGAAGGTGGGGAACAGGGGTTGGGAGGAGGGGAGTAGGGGAGACGAAGGTGGGGAACAGGGGTTGGGAGGAGGGGAGTAGGGGAGACGAAGGTGGGGAACAGGGGTTGGGAGGAGGGGAGTAGGGGAGACGAAGGTGGGGAACAGGGGTTGGGAGGAGAGGAGTAGGGGAGACGAAGGTGGGGAACAGGGGTTGGGAGGAGGGGAGTAGGGGAGACGAAGGTGGGGAACAGGGGTTGGGAGGAGGGGAGTAGGGGAGACGAAGGTGGGGAACAGGGGTTGGGAGGAGGGGAGTAGGGGAGACGAAGGTGGGGAACAGGGGTTGGGAGGAGGGGAGTAGGGGAGACGAAGGTGGGGAACAGGGGTTGGGAGGAGGGGAGTAGGGGAGACGAAGGTGGGGAACAGGGGTTGGGAGGAGAGGAGTAGGGGAGACGAAGGTGGGGAACAGGGGTTGGGAGGAGGGGAGTAGGGGAGACGAAGGTGGGGAACAGGGGTTGGGAGGAGGAGGAGTAGGGGAGACGAAGGTGGGGAACAGGGGTTGGGAGGAGGGGAGTAGGGGAGACGAAGGTGGGGAACAGGGGTTGGGAGGAGGGGAGTAGGGGAGACGAAGGTGGGGAACAGGGGTTGGGAGGAGGGGAGTAGGGGAGACGAAGGTGGGGAACAGGGGTTGGGAGGAGGGGAGTAGGGGAGACGAAGGTGGGGAACAGGGGTTGGGAGGAGGGGAGTAGGGGAGACGAAGGTGGGGAACAGGGGTTGGGAGGAGGGGAGTAGGGGAGACGAAGGTGGGGAACAGGGGTTGGGAGGAGGGGAGTAGGGGAGACGAAGGTGGGGAACAGGGGTTGGGAGGAGAGGAGTAGGGGAGACGAAGGTGGGGAACAGGGGTTGGGAGGAGGGGAGTAGGGGAGACGAAGGTGGGGAACAGGGGTTGGGAGGAGGGGAGTAGGGGAGACGAAGGTGGGGAACAGGGGTTGGGAGGAGGGGAGTAGGGGAGACGAAGGTGGGGAACAGGGGTTGGGAGGAGGGGAGTAGGGGAGACGAAGGTGGGGAACAGGGGTTGGGAGGAGGGGAGTAGGGGAGACGAAGGTGGGGAACAGGGGTTGGGAGGAGAGGAGTAGGGGAGACGAAGGTGGGGAACAGGGGTTGGGAGGAGGGGAGTAGGGGAGACGAAGGTGGGGAACAGGGGTTGGGAGGAGGGGAGTAGGGGAGACGAAGGTGGGGAACAGGGGTTGGGAGGAGGGGAGTAGGGGAGACGAAGGTGGGGAACAGGGGTTGGGAGGAGGGGAGTAGGGGAGACGAAGGTGGGGAACAGGGGTTGGGAGGAGGGGAGTAGGGGAGACGAAGGTGGGGAACAGGGGTTGGGAGGAGAGGAGTAGGGGAGACGAAGGTGGGGAACAGGGGTTGGGAGGAGGGGAGTAGGGGAGACGAAGGTGGGGAACAGGGGTTGGGAGGAGAGGAGTAGGGGAGACGAAGGTGGGGAACAGGGGTTGGGAGGAGGGGAGTAGGGGAGACGAAGGTGGGGAACAGGGGTTGGGAGGAGGGGAGTAGGGGAGACGAAGGTGGGGAACAGGGGTTGGGAGGAGGGGAGTAGGGGAGACGAAGGTGGGGAACAGGGGTTGGGAGGAGGGGAGTAGGGGAGACGAAGGTGGGGAACAGGGGTTGGGAGGAGGGGAGTAGGGGAGACGAAGGTGGGGAACAGGGGTTGGGAGGAGGGGAGTAGGGGAGACGAAGGTGGGGAACAGGGGTTGGGAGGAGGGGAGTAGGGGAGACGAAGGTGGGGAACAGGGGTTGGGAGGAGGGGAGTAGGGGAGACGAAGGTGGGGAACAGGGGTTGGGAGGAGGGGAGTAGGGGAGACGAAGGTGGGGAACAGGGGTTGGGAGGAGGGGAGTAGGGGAGACGAAGGTGGGGAACAGGGGTTGGGAGGAGGGGAGTAGGGGAGACGAAGGTGGGGAACAGGGGTTGGGAGGAGGGGAGTAGGGGAGACGAAGGTGGGGAACAGGGGTTGGGAGGAGGGGAGTAGGGGAGACGAAGGTGGGGAACAGGGGTTGGGAGGAGGGGAGTAGGGGAGACGAAGGTGGGGAACAGGGGTTGGGAGGAGGGGAGTAGGGGAGACGAAGGTGGGGAACAGGGGTTGGGAGGAGGGGAGTAGGGGAGACGAAGGTGGGGAACAGGGGTTGGGAGGAGGGGAGTAGGGGAGACGAAGGTGGGGAACAGGGGTTGGGAGGAGGGGAGTAGGGGAGACGAAGGTGGGGAACAGGGGTTGGGAGGAGGGGAGTAGGGGAGACGAAGGTGGGGAACAGGGGTTGGGAGGAGGGGAGTAGGGGAGACGAAGGTGGGGAACAGGGGTTGGGAGGAGGGGAGTAGGGGAGACGAAGGTGGGGAACAGGGGTTGGGAGGAGGGGAGTAGGGGAGACGAAGGTGGGGAACAGGGGTTGGGAGGAGGGGAGTAGGGGAGACGAAGGTGGGGAACAGGGGTTGGGAGGAGGGGAGTAGGGGAGACGAAGGTGGGGAACAGGGGTTGGGAGGAGGGGAGTAGGGGAGACGAAGGTGGGGAACAGGGGTTGGGAGGAGGGGAGTAGGGGAGACGAAGGTGGGGAACAGGGGTTGGGAGGAGGGGAGTAGGGGAGACGAAGGTGGGGAACAGGGGTTGGGAGGAGGGGAGTAGGGGAGACGAAGGTGGGGAACAGGGGTTGGGAGGAGGGGAGTAGGGGAGACGAAGGTGGGGAACAGGGGTTGGGAGGAGGGGAGTAGGGGAGACGAAGGTGGGGAACAGGGGTTGGGAGGAGGGGAGTAGGGGAGACGAAGGTGGGGAACAGGGGTTGGGAGGAGGGGAGTAGGGGAGACGAAGGTGGGGAACAGGGGTTGGGAGGAGGGGAGTAGGGGAGACGAAGGTGGGGAACAGGGGTTGGGAGGAGGGGAGTAGGGGAGACGAAGGTGGGGAACAGGGGTTGGGAGGAGGGGAGTAGGGGAGACGAAGGTGGGGAACAGGGGTTGGGAGGAGGGGAGTAGGGGAGACGAAGGTGGGGAACAGGGGTTGGGAGGAGGGGAGTAGGGGAGACGAAGGTGGGGAACAGGGGTTGGGAGGAGGGGAGTAGGGGAGACGAAGGTGGGGAACAGGGGTTGGGAGGAGGGGAGTAGGGGAGACGAAGGTGGGGAACAGGGGTTGGGAGGAGGGGAGTAGGGGAGACGAAGGTGGGGAACAGGGGTTGGGAGGAGGGGAGTAGGGGAGACGAAGGTGGGGAACAGGGGTTGGGAGGAGGGGAGTAGGGGAGACGAAGGTGGGGAACAGGGGTTGGGAGGAGGGGAGTAGGGGAGACGAAGGTGGGGAACAGGGGTTGGGAGGAGGGGAGTAGGGGAGACGAAGGTGGGGAACAGGGGTTGGGAGGAGGGGAGTAGGGGAGACGAAGGTGGGGAACAGGGGTTGGGAGGAGGGGAGTAGGGGAGACGAAGGTGGGGAACAGGGGTTGGGAGGAGGGGAGTAGGGGAGACGAAGGTGGGGAACAGGGGTTGGGAGGAGGGGAGTAGGGGAGACGAAGGTGGGGAACAGGGGTTGGGAGGAGGGGAGTAGGGGAGACGAAGGTGGGGAACAGGGGTTGGGAGGAGGGGAGTAGGGGAGACGAAGGTGGGGAACAGGGGTTGGGAGGAGGGGAGTAGGGGAGACGAAGGTGGGGAACAGGGGTTGGGAGGAGGGGAGTAGGGGAGACGAAGGTGGGGAACAGGGGTTGGGAGGAGGGGAGTAGGGGAGACGAAGGTGGGGAACAGGGGTTGGGAGGAGGGGAGTAGGGGAGACGAAGGTGGGGAACAGGGGTTGGGAGGAGGGGAGTAGGGGAGACGAAGGTGGGGAACAGGGGTTGGGAGGAGGGGAGTAGGGGAGACGAAGGTGGGGAACAGGGGTTGGGAGGAGGGGAGTAGGGGAGACGAAGGTGGGGAACAGGGGTTGGGAGGAGGGGAGTAGGGGAGACGAAGGTGGGGAACAGGGGTTGGGAGGAGGGGAGTAGGGGAGACGAAGGTGGGGAACAGGGGTTGGGAGGAGGGGAGTAGGGGAGACGAAGGTGGGGAACAGGGGTTGGGAGGAGGGGAGTAGGGGAGACGAAGGTGGGGAACAGGGGTTGGGAGGAGGGGAGTAGGGGAGACGAAGGTGGGGAACAGGGGTTGGGAGGAGGGGAGTAGGGGAGACGAAGGTGGGGAACAGGGGTTGGGAGGAGGGGAGTAGGGGAGACGAAGGTGGGGAACAGGGGTTGGGAGGAGGGGAGTAGGGGAGACGAAGGTGGGGAACAGGGGTTGGGAGGAGGGGAGTAGGGGAGACGAAGGTGGGG